ATATAGAGCATGTTTTCTTTATCCATTCATCCGTTGATGGGTATTCAAGCTGATTCCTTGGCTTGGGCCAGTTTGAATAGTGCTGCAATAAACATGATCTCTGTCTCTCTCTCTCTCTCTCTCTTTCTCTCTCTCGATTTAACCCAGCCAGGATATGGAGTATACTACCACTGGGCTACATTCCAGTCCTGAGCATTACTGCTTTAAAGAAAAAGAAAAAAACAAAACAAAACAAAAAACCATTTATTTGCTTATTTAGTCACACACACCCACAACTCCCCCCGCCCACACACACACAACATAGAGGTCAGAGAACCGCCTGCAGGAGTCAGTTCTCTTCTTCCATCATGTGGATTCTGAGAATCAAAACCAGATTATCAGGCTTGGCTGCAGGCACCTTTACCAGATGAGCAACAATCTGGTCAGTGCTAAGCAGTGACTGGGGAAGTGCCTGGGGCGGGTTGGGGGTGGGGTCGGGGTGTTAAGGGGGTGACTTGACACCTACAAGCCTGGGATCCTCCACCCCCAGATTCTGATGCAGTTGGTCTGAAGTGAGCCCAAATATCTGAGAGGTTAAGCAGGCTTTCCAGTTCACTGTAGGGAGCTGCTTGGTGAGGCCCTTTGAAGGAGTAGTTCACACCCACTCCTCCACTTCCTCACCCACTCCACTTCCTCACCCACTCCACTTCCTCACCCCCAAGTGTCTTTTTGTCTTTTTTTCTTCTTTCTTTGGACAGGGTCTCACTATGTAGCCCCAGCTGGCCTTGAACTCACAGTTCCTCCTGCCTCTGCCTCTGGAGTGCTGGGATTACAGGTGCATGCCACCAGGGACCCAGTGTACTTCTTGACCACAACTTGCCCTCCCCCGCCCTCCCCCAACCTCCCAGCACCTTGACTGCTTTGACCAAGGCCTCCTCATTGCTAAGTCCAGGGAACCCATTTTCATTCTTCCACTTGCTCTGTCCACACGCTTCTTGAATCTTCTCCCTGTAACCCCCAAGCTCCCGCCTCCTGGCGCTTCTTTCTGTGGCAGCCACACACACCTGTGCCTGCACCTCCTCTCCAGCTGTGCTCACACATACACAGGCGCCCCATCAAACCCCAGCGTCTTGGGGAGCTCTATATGCCTTCTACCTACTCTCTGGATGCGCACCCTCCATGTTTCTCATGGCCATCTCCACCCAACATCTGGAAAAACAGACTTGTTCTCTCCCCAGCCGTGCTGCTGGGAAGCCGCATCACCAGGCGCCTGACCAGGGAAACTCAGATTCGGTTTCTGTGCTTGTGAAATGGAAATGATTCCTGTGGGGAGCCTCAAATGAGGCAGCACCCGGGGACCCACAGGCCACCGGCTCCCAGTGCCCTTCCCTGCTGTCCCCCTTTTCTTTTCCGAGATGACTCCCGGCTGCTTTCAGCCACTTGAGACTGGACTTCCGCATCCAACAGCTGCCGATTCTGGCGGATTCCACCTCAAATGCAGCTCCCATCTCTTCCCCTGCTCTCCCTTCCCAACCACAGCTGCCTAAATTCGGGACTTCATCACAGTTTGTGCCTCTTGCCTCCCGCTCCATCTCCACTTGGTGGCTGAGGAGACCCTTCTAGAAAAAGCACAATCACAGCACTCCCAGTTCTGTGGTGGCTCCTGGGATCTGTCCAGATTCCGGAACTAAGTGGTTTAGTCCTTCTGCATTCTGATTCACCTCCCATTTCTCCCGAGAGTGCTACCCCCATCCCTCTCTCTGCTTTTTCGGGCCCAGATGTGTCGTCGTCGTCCCCCACCCCCGCCTGGCAAGCATGACTCATCCTTCCCAGGGACACAGTCAAATCGCCGGCGCGGTGCCCCCATCACACTTGGGAAATGCTTCATTTCTTTAGCCCACAGGCCTACTATGTGTATGTGCCAGACTCTGTCCCTGAGAGTTTGGAGATTATTAACATGATGCTGTTCATAAGAACCCAGGAACTCCTGGGTAGCATTATCCCTGTCACAGGCAGAGAGGCTGAGTTGCTGGCCCAAGATAACACAACTAAAAGTGGCTGAGCCATTATTGGAACTCGTGTGGCCCAGGTCTGGGCTTTGAGTCACTGCACCATGTGGCCTCTTCAATGGGATGACTATTACTGAATATTTTGCTATCAAACTAAACAACATGAACTTCTCGATATTTGGCCATTTTTGACCTAGAAAAGCAGCAGATTTGTATGGCTCAGCATGCTAGGCATTTGATCTTTATTTTATTTTTAAATTTGCTTTTTCAGACAGAATCTCACACTGTATCCCAGGCTACCCTGAATCTCACTATATAGCCTAGTCTGGCCTCAGACTTGCTGAAATCCTCCCACTTCATCCTCCCAAGGCTGGGATTACAGGCCTGAGCCTCCAGCTGGGCTGGGCACTTGAAATACAACGGAAAACTCATGATAGAGTCTGCCTTAGAGAGAGGACAGCTTGTAAGTGTCCGGGTGGCTGAGAGTGTATCACCTAGCATAGGGGGTCTGGTGAGCCAGAAAAAATCCTAGAGGAGCAGAGGTGACAGGAACATCTGGGGGTGTGGGCAAAGGAAGGGGCTTCAAAGCCCTGGCACAATGTTAGATCAGAGCAGGCTAAGGCCTGAATGGAAAGAGAAAGAGTGGCCCCTGGTCACCACCATGGCCTAGCAGCCAGCCCTAGCATGGGTGCTCAATTAGGAGTGTAAAAGTCAAGGCGGGGTTTGCGACCTCACAGCTGCCAGAGGAGCCAGATGTGGACAGAAGACAAGCAAGAAAACAAGCAGAACTATCACTGTCAGGAGGAGACCTCAGAACTGAACTCTGAATATAGTGTGTGCCGCCAAGGAAAGGGGAGGACAGGGGCCAGTGGTACAGAATTACTAAGGGGAAATACTGGGGTCATGAGGCATTCTGGCCATGCCAACCCAACAGGATTCCTGCGTAAACTGTACACTTCAGAGAGCAGCATAGAAGTCTAGAAGTCGAGGCCAGGGAGCTGAGTGTGGTGGCACATGCCGGAAATCCTAGCACTGGGAGACTGAGGCAAGACTGCCCAAAGTTCATGTCCAGTTTGAGTTACATAGTGTGTTTCAGGACAGCAGGCTTGAGGGGTAGAGAGTAGGAGTAAAGAAGACGCAGTGGGAGGGAGGGAAGAAGAAAGAGAAGGAGAGAGGGGGAGGGGGAGATTTGGAAAGTCAAATAGATGGAGTTGCAGTAGGTTGCAGCTTTTTCTCTGGTCAACAGATGGCAATGTTGCATCATGTCTGGGTTACGCCTCTGCTTGAAAGGCCCTTAGCCGCTGCTCCAGATGAGGTGAAGGGCCTTAGACTACAAAACCTATACTCCTTATGTCCTCGCCCATGTCCCTGAAGCCATACATTCTAGGCAGCTTTGAAAAAGATTTCCAAAGCGGAGAACAAGGGGAAGGACCTGCAGGCTGACTACTAGGTGTCTAGTTCTGAACCTGCAGCCAATTTACTGCTGGGCCCTCAGCCCCTTTCTTCTGGAAGTCCTTTGCCACTGTAAAAACTGAACTTCCAAATTTAAAATACTTGATGTTGGGTTGTGGGTACCGTACTTGCCTAGAAGCTTGAGGCCCTGGTTTAGACCCCACCACAAATAAAACACTTGGGGCTCCAGAGATGGATAGGATAAAAGAGACACACGATCACGTTCTTGTTATAAATAACGACTCTTTCTACGTAAGACATACAGAATGGAGGCAGGGCAATCTTCAGGTGTGCACAAGTCAGCTATAATACTGCTATGATACTAAGATACAATGGTGGCCTCCCCCTCCCCCTCCTCCTCCCCCTCCTCCTCTTCCTCCTCCTCTCCTCCAGGGTTGCACTGTGTAGCCCTGGCTGATCTGGAACTTACTATGTAGACCAGGCTAGACTTCATCTCACAGAAATCTGCCTGCCTGTACCACCCAAGTGCTGGGACTAAAGGCCCACACTACCATGCCCAGGTCATACTGTTTCTTTAACAGTAAGTAAATAAAAGCTAAAACAGGATGCATGGTGGGCCTGTGAGATGGCTCAGTGGGTAAAAGTACCTGCCACCAAGCCTAGCAACATGAATTCCACCCTGTGGATATGGTGGAAGAGAGAACTGGTTCCCACAGGTTGTCCCCTGACCTCCACTGAATTGAAGTGGCATGAGTGCACGAACGAGTATATATATATATATATATATATACACACACACACACACACACACACACA